CCTCAGTTTCCCCATCTCAGCTGAATCAGTGATTTCTTTCATTCTTTCTTTCTTTTTTTCCTTCACAGCAAAACCCGGTTTTCCAATTGAATCTTCCTCAGCATATTGATCTGAGAGTCATGGAAATGGAGCTGTGTGGCTGCCATGGTTGAACCCCAGATGCTCAGCCTCCCACTGCCCCAGAATCAGCTCAAGGCACCCTGCTTGGACGCCAGGCTCCAAAGGGCCTCCTTGAAAACCACCAGACTAAATGGCTGTGGTCCTCCCTGGCTCTCAAGTGAAGTTCCAATCCACCCAGGTTCCAGGGAAAAACAAACCAAGCATTTCGTGCTGACTGAGTCAGGGGCACAGGCACTTGGCAACCTGCAGAGGGAGGGAACAAAACCACAGGGTTCCGCACCACCTGGGCCCGGTCAGGAGAGGGGGAGGCCCCGCCTCTCATCCTGGGAGACAGAAAAAGCAGCCCCGACCCAGGCCCCTTCAAGTCATAGACCCGAAGTGTACAGGGAGCTGGGAGGGATCCCCTAAGTGAGCCCCCTGTGTAAAGGTGGAGGGCCTAAGGCTCAGAGAGAGCAGCAACTAGCCTGAGGTCACACAGCACCAGACCGGGAGTCTGGGCCTCTCGGATGCCAATCCAGAGAACTCTCCGCCGTTTAAAGTTCCGAGGGATTCCGGGGGAATCTCCCAGGCAAGAGCCCCCGGCTTGCAAACTCAGAACAGGATATTTTGGTGGCACTGGGTGGTGACAGAGCAGAGATGTTTGTTTTGGTTTCCACATCAACGCTTGACAACCTTGTCTGTAGGTGCTACAGTTTCTGCAACCACATTCCCCACCCACCCACCCAGTGAAGAGCTCAGAGCTGATTGGGCCGAGGCAAAACCAATCGCGACAGGGCCAGGGGCCAGGGGCTCAGAGCTGATTGGGCCGAGGCAAAACCAATCGCGAGCAGGGCCAGGGCCAGGGGACCCGAGGCCAGGGGCTCTGGTTTAGGTGGGTGTTTCCACTGATGGCACATGTGCTGATGTGAGGTGGTAAACAGGCGACTTTCTCCATTTACCTGTTACTGACTACACAGGTGAATGGATAAACCCAATGTGATCTATCCACAGGGGAATATTATTCAGGAACATAAAGGAACATACTACTGACACATGCTACAACATGGACGAACCTCAAAAACATTACCCACGTGAAAGAAACCAGGCACAAAGGGCTGCATATGGCATGATTCCATTCACAGGAAATGTCCAGAAACGACAAATCTGGAGAAACAGAAAGCAGATCGGTGGTAGCCTGGGCTGGGGCTGGAGATTAACTGCAAATGGGCAAGAAGGATCTAATTGGGGTGATGCAAGCGTTCTGAAACTGGATTCTGGTGATGGTTGCACAACTCTGTGGATTTACTAAAAATCATTGAATTTTACGCTTAATATGGGAGGACTTTATGACAT